CAAACTATGGCTAGATTGGGCTGGGTGAAAAAAAAAAAAACATTGAAAACAACATAAGGTTATAATGACAGTCATCAAACCAACAACTGATGCTGGACTATATAACAGGGGTCGTGTTAACGCAAAGCACCAGAATTATTGGGATAATGGAAAAAATATGTATTTGCTTCTTAAATATTGATTGGTAGTTTGTTGATATTTGATGTTGTTATTGAGCTTATATTAGTAACAGTAGCATTGTGAGTGTCACGTTCTCAATTTCCTGTATAATGAGATGTCCCATCGCCAGTTTAACAGTCAATCATTTCCTAGAATCTTTTAGTTCAAATGTCCTTTATATCTTGTGTCTTGCAGTGATATTCTGAATGCATGATAACATGCAGCGAATTTGAACATTTTATCAGAACGTAACAAGGCTAGCTAGCCAACCAGTGTGAATGTTGCACAAACCCTTTAACCATTCTAGCCCAACTTCCTTCGAGATTGCTCACATCCCAAGAAGAGGCAAATAGTCTTCATCTGAGTGTCCTGGTCTGCACTCTTTGGCATACATAGCAATAATTGTAAAGAATTAGTCAATGATGAGTTCAAAATCAAAAACTGTATTCAAAACTAATTTTTTTTTTTGTTAAACGTTAAAAATAGAGTTAATTTATTAAATTAACAAATATACATGTATGTATGCATTAACTAGTAAAGTGTCAGATATCAATGAATAAAACCTTATTTGATAAATGTTTGACTAAACGCTGCGAGTTAAGAGTTGAAGTCATCTGAAACACGGTTCATTGTTTTGATTGACTGTCACATAGTTGGGTATGTAACCTTATTGCATCAACAGTGGTCACTAGGAACTGGGGATTTTGAAATAGCCTACCAGATGCGGTTATATGTTAGTTATATGTAAAGAATTTTTCACTTGCTGTAATACAGTTCTAGGTTTAGGATCAAAGGTTAACTTAACAAGAGGCACTATGGCAAGAAACGTTATGTATTTCAAAGCATAGTATTTCATTAATTGTCAAAAAGACCTCCTTATGGTAAATAATAATCCATTAATTTTTTGTTTATGTTTACATCTGGGAAATGTGGAGATAAAACCTATGCTGTGCTCTGCATAATTCTGTACACTGACTAGCACTGGCACTGAGTAGATACAATATAAGCTGTTCCATAACAATAGCCATTGCTAGACCAGTGATAGACGAGAGGTACTGGTGGTATAGATAAAATTACACACTATGAAAATTCTGTGTATATTCTTATTCCTTCTTTATTTTTTCTTATACCTAGTGTATTGATGCTCTATCATCGTTTTTGCAGTCCATGAACACTGCCACTGCTGGACGTGACAACATTAATTCTGCATGGAAGAGGTGTAAGTGTATGTCTTAATCAGTGTCATTATTTGTTGAAATGAAAATTTTTGATATGTGCTTCTCTGAAACTTGTGTCTTAATATTGATATACTGTTTAAATTTGTATTCACTGGAAGTTATTATTGCTCTTTTTTTCTTGACCTGATAAAAAAAAATGTTTAAATGATTAATCAGTGAAAAAAAATTGCTGGTATTGTCCAAATTTGTGGTTTTCATCAAAAGTTTAATTGCATCTAAAATATAAAGTAATTCACAGTAGATGTACTTATAGAGCGTTAGAAAAATACAGTGAAAGTAAGAAAGTGCTCACCTGCGCATGTGGAAGACGGCCATAGCGTGTTGTTGTTTACAAATAAGCATCTATGCATGTGCTTTTGTGTTTTTAGTATACTTTATCTTCACTTAGGACTCAATTCCCTCATGTGCACAGGTGACGATCCTCTTGGCTTTAAAGCGATACAAAAGCATCTTCATGCAGCACATGCTCAAATTTCATGTATACAAACAATGTATTTTTCATGCATTGTTACAGTAATGTTATACAAGACTTTTGCCAAACATCGCCTATTTATCACATTTTAGTTGCACATTTTTCATGCAACGTGAGCACCATAAATACACAACTAATCACCTTGTTGTGAATGCTATAAATATTCTAAATGCAATAAATGCATTGTTCCCTGCAGGGGAAAATGCAGGTAATGCAAGCTGAACTGTACAGTATTATAGAGTTGCATGTAGTTTTATTTATTTTATTTTCAAACAAGCATTTTTAGCATGTACCGTATAATTGCTAGCAATTATAGGTAAAAAATGGTAGATTGGCACAGTCTGGGCAGTGTATTTCGTTTTAAAGTTTAAATTAAACAAAAATATCGCGAAATGGAGTTGTTAATGCTAAATCTCTTGTAATCATAATCCCCAAATTTTGCAAACCTATTTTCTTTCAAGTTTTCTATTATAATTTAACTGAAAAAAATTCATCCTAGCCGGGCTAGTCTATGAAAATTGTAATAAAAGATTTATATTACTGCCCTTCTAAGAATTATGCAGACAGTGAGTCCCGTATGTGTAGTGGTATATTCTCAACACAGTCACATCCCCCATAAATGTAGTGGAATATTCTAAATAACTGTCAATTAACATAATGTTTGTAAATACGTTATTTGTTACAGTGCAAGAAATTGACCAATACTTGGACCCAGCTTTATCAGATACCATTACTATGGATGATGATTTGAAAACAGAAATTATCCTTGCAGGTAATTATTATTTGTTTTTCTTGATAACAAACATTCTTATGTACTTCAATACAACATACATTATAACTTTTCAGCACAAACATCTCACTTGTTCATACGTGTTCAGGAGATGGGGTAAATTACTGGGTGAGGAAATGAGAGCTTGGTTACTCACAGATCTGAACTAGTCTACAATGAGTCATCATAATAGACCATTTTCCGTTCACTGCAAGAATCGCGCGTTGTGCGTGAAATCGAATGTAAAAACAGGAGGTCATAGCGTCGTAGTGGCGTCAAACATCGCATGAGATTCGACAAACGCGAAAGTATTTTGGGGATATTTCCATGCTTAATAATGTGCTGTACACATTTGATGATAAGTAATTTCGATTAAGTGAGGGTATTTGAAAGCAATATTCCTTTGTCGAAAATCGGCCGGTCGATGTGAGCTACGATATAAAGAAATTTGAGTTCAAATCAAATCGTTCAATTTTTGCGGCAGACGTTCGACGCGTGTCTTTCATGCATCTCGCGAGATCTCGCAGTTGAACGGAAAATCACCTATTGGCATTTAGTGCTGAGCTAGATGAACCAGGAACTTTTGTGCTGAAAGTAAATGGTTGGACTACTCACCAACTTCTGAAATGTTCATTTAATAATACTTCACTTCATTGTAGTACTTTAGGTTTTCCTAGTTTTCTATGTGGATTCACTTGGTCTATATACTGCCAGACCATGACTCTATTTGTGATTTTGGCTCTGATATCAAATTATTTAAATTTGTTGGAAGTATTTAACCTACTTAACAGTCTGATTACAAAGATACAGTAATACATTTAAAATTAGTTCAAATTGTTCAACAAAATAAATAACATTTATAATATATCATCAGCTTATAAGGTATTGCAGTATTTATGCAAATTTGGTAAGCTCTTAATTGGTAATGCACAGCCCCATCTAACTTTCCATGGCAAAAACAAATTAAATAATTGACAATATGGGCAACTACTGTAATTTCATGAAAGACAAATGTTCACACATCAGGCGAAATCCTGCCAGTGAAATTTTGTGTAACTGAAAATTTCTCAACGCAAATTGTCAATAGCAAAAATTCCTGGTAACAAAAATTAAGCAATTTGCAGTATATTTTTCTATTCAATTTGTATAATCTAAAAAATAAAATGAGAAATGTTCATATAACTGTCTAAAAAAAGTTGCTGTGCTTCCCCAGTCATAAGCCCAGGGACATGAACATGTAAAATCAGCGAAAGTAAGGGGGGCGGGGGCTTATCCTCCAGGACCACCTCAGAAAAATGGAAGAATTTTTTGTTTAACTGTAACCATGTCACTAACTTCATTTCTTAGTTTTCAACCACAAGAAGATAAGATAAAACAGACTTGCGACGAAACAATCTCCAGGAGACAATGACATTGACACAAGTGAAAAACAAACATGGCGCCTAGCTGGGCATTCATTTCTATTATTGTTACTGTTAAAACCTTCAAAGTTCAAATCAGCATCACAGTTTTCTCCCTCAGAGACAGAATCCCCATAACGACTGACCCAGTTAAGAACATCTTGTCGTAAACAACTGTTTTAGATCATCTTTTGTAGTACGCCTGTCTTTCTGCACGTACGCGATCCATTCTCTGTGCAGGTGGTCTTTGAACAGTTTGTTTGCACTCACGTCCATCAACTGAACAATGGAAATATAACCAGCTGGGATAAAAACCATAATAGCTGGGCTATCATGTGTTGTCGTGCCCCGCCCAATGCCAACATGCGCTGTACATCATAGTGGTTTGAATAACAGTACCGATTATACCAAATCACCATTTTTTCAGTCATCCATCCATTTGGTGTCACCACTAATAAGATATTGCCTGGTACAGTCAGGTTTGCTATAACTTTTTTCTCTAAAAGTAAACAAAGAAATAAATTAATAAAAATATAAATCATATGGGTAATTTTATATAGCAATAATGGTTACACATGTATTTGATTTCTGTCTTATATTAAAATTAAATAAAAACATTCTGCTTATGAATTGATCAAAATAAATTACCTGAAAATGACAAATGCAGGGTCTTTGTGACTATTGGCACATGCTAAGAGACACACTGTAAAGCCTTGTTCTTTGTTCCTGTTGATGCGATTCGTACACTTTCCTCACTTGTAAGTGCCTGGATGTGCTCTTTGTAATTTAATTCATTTGTTTACATGTCTTCGTAGTATTGAACTTTTGATTTTTTTAAAAGTGTATATGAACACATTGTAAATGAACACGATAGTGAGCTCCACTGGAAACAAAACTGTTTTTGGCACCCTCTTAATTATGATTACAGTATATTAGGGAAGATTTTATGTTTGTTTGGCCAACCCAGCAGTTAAATAAATGACAATAAAAACTACCGCTAAACCCATTGACATTTTGATCAGTAAAATGCTGACACGTGTGGCAGCGTGACTTAATGTACTGCCAGCCATGTCAGTCGTTCTTTAACTATGTTTCGATTAGCTGAATATTAATGTAAAACTTAGTTTTTCAAGGAAGATATGTCACACTTACCAGCAAGTTCTCATAGTTGGCATGCCTTACTATGAACATTGTAATTGACTAGAGGTCATCAAGAAGGCAGAGGAATAGTCAACATGATAGAAATGCCATAGACATGACACACAATTGAAAGAAAGTGGCAAGTTTATGGTGTGACATCGCCAGATTACTGGCCCCATGGATTCACAGTCCATGAATTGATTGCTTTCAAATATATATGAGTTTTTCTCATAAAAACACAAACCAAACAGCCATGGAGGGGCTTATGCCTGGGGAAGTATGGTAAATGACATTGTTACAACTTTCTATGTTTCTAGGTCTACTCGCCACAATAGTTTTATTGGTGTAAATTATTTTGTGCACTTTGGTGAATTCAACAAGTTTCTTGATTGTCCACACACCACAAGGGTATTATTGGTCTATTTTGTACATTTTTTTAACTAGTTTGTGTATTCTTGTTTTATCTAACAGTCTTTCATAAATAACCACAAATATGGAAAATCATTTGAAATAGGTAAATAAAATGAGTGAATAGACCCCCCTCCCAAATTCTTATCTAATAAATTCAATTCAAATTGAAAATTATATCTTTTCAACTGATCTATTAGCAGGTCCAAGGTATGTGATCAATTAAACAAACATTATAAAATACAGTGATATTCACTAATGTTAACACAACCTTATTTAACTGCAGATGAACGAATAGTAGTACCCACTGGTGACGTTGTGCAATAATCATTCACTACATCCTAGCTCGTCTTCTTTGAGCATACGTGTTTCTCAAGGAGAGTATATTCTGCATTATAGTGCCATGCATTAGCTTGTTGACATCAAGCAACAATGGAATGAGTGGGCAACGGTAAAACAGACGCGACCACGCCTCACCCTTTATTCCCTAATTGACCTCTTGTATTGCTTTGACATGCATTTTGCCATGTAAAGAAACAACAACACAAGCACAACGCCAAAATCGTTTTTAGCCATGTTGTTTTCATACATGTACTAAGTAAATGAAGGCGCTGTTCCATTCGGCTCTGAACGAACTGGATCGAACTCGGGCGGATCAAACTCAGGCGGATCTCGGCTTTTGTTCGGCCAGACCGTGTAAACGCATTGGAAATAATCTCCTGTTAAGCAGTAGTTTGGCTCCGATAGAAAGCTGTCGTTTAATCGTAGCAATTATAAATAAAGTGCTACAATTGTTTTGATCTAAGTAAATACATGTAGTTATTTGTTGACAAACGTTCAGTATATATCCAGATACTTCATGCAGTGAGCTTCCAAGGGACTATTAAAAATGCAGAAAACCTCTCACTGACCCCTGTAAGCATAATATAAGTGCTTTGTTTTGTGTACGGTTTATGAGAAATCTTAACTAATAGAATTCTATGTTTAGAAGTACCACCTAAAATTAAAACAAAGCCATGCAAACGTCAAAATGCACAAATGGTCTTGAGTGATGAAATGAAAATTATGTTTAATTTAGAGATTAAATTCCAACATTTCAGGATTTGTTGCCAAAGCAACTATTTTTATTATCTCATTGTACATGTATTCATAATAATCAGTGGGAGATGTTCTGCATATACCTAGGGTTTTTTCTAAACCAGGGAACAAGGGCGCAGCGCCCTGATACTTTTGGCTGGAACTCTTACTGAATTGCAGATTGAATTTTCATGTCATGAATATATTTCTTGAGCCGCGCACTTCCATGCTGTCCTACAACATGAAATCTTTCTCAAATATATTTTTCTCCGTGAAAACTTCTCACAACACCAGCTGACAATGTGTCTGAATACCAAATACACTAAAATTACGCCAAAAATATTTCAACAGCAACAGATACATCGTTAAATGACGCAGAAACCTTTCGATATACCCTCCCACTTGGTCGCTCTGCTCCCTCTTATTATTTTTTTCTAGAAAAACAATTGTATACCAATAATACAACTTTAAATACCAATATTAAAGTAAACAATATATGTTACTATTCTATTTAGAATAGTAACAACTGGCTAAATTAGCCATCACCCACATTTTGGCATATGCTAAGTAGTCACTATTAATAGGCATATTTACTGTCTTGCTTTGTTTATAAAGCCAGGGGAAGGGAACATTTTATGGATGGAAAGTCATTCATTGTAGTTATTACATGCTTTAAATGGACAGGTTTTTTTTACATTGTTAGTTACATTGTTTTTTACAATATAACTTGTTTATTATTCAGGAATTTGAGTTTTTGACAAACTTACATGTAGAATTGTTATTGCTTATATTTTTCATCAGAATTTCTTACATTTTGGTTTATAGTAGATAATATTTGATAATCAATATTCTAAGTAACTATTAAAAATAGCTAGACGTTTCGAGCAATGGCTCTCTATTGATAGCATAGAAGTAAAGAGCCATTGCCATAGTTCGAAACGTCTAGCTGTTTTTAATAGTTACCTTGGACAACAATTACCAAATATTATCTACTATATATCATAGTTATTGGTCCAAGCAGTGTTTATATTAACTTATTATTATTTACTTTTACATTTTGGTTGTTTTTTCAGAGGAAGAGCATCTCAAGAAACAGGGAGAGCTTCTCGAGCAAGTTACGAAAATGAAAGATATACTAGATAGTGAACATTTGAAAGGTAAAATTGCACTGCACTTTACCCATACTTACATACCTCAGTTTCATAGACAACTTACAAAATGTTTTTAGGTTAATACCAATTATTATGAAAATGAAATAATTCTATGCAGTGTCGTGCCCACTTTATACGTGAATTGTACATGTTCCTATCAAGGTCTGGTAAGATGTACACTAGTTGACTCCCATGTGCGAAGCACATAATGGGAGTCTTTGCAGTTAGTGTGTGTGTGTGTATGTGTGTATCATGTTTTTCATTTGTGTTGAGTTT